GCTGTTCACCGCCCCAAGTCCTTCGGGAGAAGGGCGGTATACAAATATAATAAACATAAACATAAACATAAACCCTGTGCCTATACCTCCCGTAAGCTGACGGAGACCGAGAGGAGATGGGCCATATGGGAGAAGGAAGCTTTTGCAGTTCATTGGGCACTATTAACGTGGAGACAGTTCCTTGAGGGGGCTAAGCACCTGTTTGAGGTGTGGACTGACCACAAAAACTTGGAAGCTTTAAAAACGCCTTGTAAACTGTCCCCAAAGCAAGTCCGCTGGGCTCATCACTTCAAACGATTTAATTTCTCCCTGCGCTACCTTCCTGGAGGGAAGAACTTCATGGCAGATGCCCTTTCTAGACTGCCGCAATACAATAGTGTTAGAGAGGAGGTGATTCGGCCAATTATCTCCTCAGTACATCTGGCTGCACCAGTAATTACTAGAGCCCAGGCGAAAGCAGATCCAACTCTATCGGATGACTTGACTAAGCAACTACAAGAAGCTCTAAAAACTGACGAGTGGTTTCTGGCCCATTCGAATGAGTGTACGCTTCGGGATGGAGTTGCTTGGGTGGGTGCCAAGTTATATGTTCCCGCCAGTCTGAGAGCAACAGTTCTACAACACGCTCATGATGCCAAAGTTGCTGGACACTTCGGATTTGTGAAAATGCTACATCTAGTCAAACGGCAATTCTGGTGGCCCACATCCAAGAAAGACATAGAGGCATATGTGGCCAGCTGTCCTGTGTGTGCTTTGGCCAAGAGACCTCCTGGAAAGCCACCTGGACTACTTCAGAGTGTTGCCAGATCGGATGCCCCATGGAAGGAGATCTCCATGGATTTTATTGTAGAATTGCCCAAAAGTGGGGGGAACACAGTTATTTGTGTGGTTACTGATTTATTTTCCAAACAAATGCATTTCATTCCATGTCCCAAGATCCCTTCCACAAAAACACTGGCTAAAATGTTTCTCCACCATGTGTACAGGTTACATGGTGCTCCAAAACGTATAATCTCGGACAGGGGAGTTCAATTTACCTCCCATTTTTGGAAAGAGTTCCTAGGATTGATAGGCACCCCCCAGGGATTAAGCTCCGCCCACCCCCCACCCCCAGACAAATGGGGCTTGTGAAAGAACCAATTCTGTATTGGAACAATATCTGAGATTTTACATTAATTATCAGCAAGATAACTGGGCAGATTTATTGCCGTTTGCAGAGGTGGCCTATAATAACTCCATACATAGCAGCACAGGGTTTACCCCTTTCAAGGTGGCCTCCGGCCAAGATTTTGTGCCCATTCCAGAGTTGCCACAAGAGAATCCACAAAACCCCTCCCTGGTTGATTGGATTGAACGGTTACGGGGCACTTGGTCAGTAACTCGTAAGGCACTCAATGAAGTGCATCGGGCTTATAAAGCCCAAGCTGATAAGAAAAGGGGCCACGCACGGACTTATAAAGTTGGTGATATGGTTTACCTTTCCACCAAATACTTGCAAACTACCCAAAAGTCTAAAAAGCTTGGACCTAAGTATGTGGACCCTTTTCTGGTAGTTCGGATCATTAACCCAGTCACGGTACAATTGGAGTTACCAAAATATTTAAGACGAATTCATCTGGTATTTCATGTCAGCTTACTGAAACCAGAACATTTATCCCCTTTGCGTCTAGACCAAGAACCTCCTCCTGTCCCCATTCTGATTGAAGGAGAACAGCATTTTGAGGTCAAAGAGATCTTAGATTCCAGAAAGCATTGTGGTAAAGTGCAGTATTTGGTGGCCTGGAAACATTTCCCAGTATCTAAAGCTGAATGGGTTAATAAACGAGATGTTCGCGCGCCAAAGAAAGTGCAATTGTTTCACACCAAATATCCTGATAAACCTTAATTTGTTTTGTGTATTATATGTTTTCCTTTTTATCTCTTACAGGAATAATGTCTCTTCTGCAGGGGGCCGAATGTCAGCCTCCGCTCTTTCAATGCTTACTTGCTCGGCTGCCATGGAACGGGGGAGGAGGAGCTAGGGGGATTCTTGGGGGGGGGAAGCGTGCTGGAGAAAAAGGAAAGTGAATCTTTACTGCACCATTTTCTTTGAAGCTGATAACGTTTCAAGATCAACGGTCTTGGTATAGCAAGATGATGACACTGCCAGACGTGTGCTCCCACATGACCCCTGGAGGACCTGTGGATTGGATGATTTACATTGGACAGTTGGGGGGGGGGATGCTTTCTATATGTGATTTTTGCGCCTTTGCTTCAGACCTTGCTTTTCATTGACTGCATTCAGTTCATATCCAGTAAAAGTTACCTTTCTCTATGAAAATGGAGTCAGGTTTTTCTTTCTTGGATAATGAAAGGAGGCCATCCTGACAAACAAAGAGCTGACATCATTGAAGGAGTTAGATGTTTATGAGAACATTAGACTACCACCAGGTGAGCATGCAATTGGTTGCAAATGGGTTTACAAACTGAAAACTGGTGTGGATGGGACTGTTACCCATAAGGCATGATTGGTTGCTCAAGGATTTGCTCAGTCAGATAAGGACTATGATGAAGTGTTTGCACCGAGTCTAAGGGCGACCACGTTGCGAGCAGCATTAGTATGGGCAACTAAGAATAGATACAGGATAAACTATATAGATATTGAATGCATATCTGCATGCGCCATTGCAACATACAATCTATATGAAGAAACCACTAGGTTTGAAAACTGATGGGAAGACTGATTGCTTATTATCTCTTATTATTGCTATTTACTGATGATATAGCATTTATTATTAAATCTGAACACAAAGCAACCGAAATTGTTTCTGTGTTGCAAAAGAAGTTCAGAATTAGGAATTTGGGAGAAATTAAGCATTATCTGGGTCTTGACATAGTTAAAACTAGTAAAGGTTACAAAATTTCGCAAGCCAAGAAAGTTAGCCAATTGCTGAAACGTTACAACATAGAACTCTGTAAGCCTGCTAAAACATCAATGAGTCAGGATTTTAAACATAGTGTGGAATTGGGATCATAGAAACACCCAGGAGCATAGAAGAGTTCAGAGGCGGATGCCTAAATAAATGTCTTAAACATATTTATTCATATGATAAATCATATTAACTATGTACAACAGAGATCAAGTCTCATGAGGAACAAACATGAAAAGAGAGAGATGGAGAGAGCGAGGTGGAAAAGGTTGGAGGGGGTTTTATACTCAGGGTAAGCCCCTCCTTTCCACATAGGGGTGGAGACACTCTCTGCCTCCACTGGTGTCTATATGACACATGTGCCAATGGCTTGCAAATACTTGACACATAGTAATATTCAAAGTCCTGTATTCAATAAGGAAATATATCAATCCTTAATAGGCAGTCTATCATATATTTTTTTTAAATTTGATTTATATGCCGCCCTTCTCCAGAGACTCAGGGCGGCTTACAATGCGTTAAGCAATAGCCTTCATACTTTTGTATATTTATACAAAGTCAGCTTATTGCCCCCACAAACTGGGTCCTCAATTTACCTACCTTAGAAAGGATGGAAGGCTGAGTCAACCTTGAGCCTGGTGAAATTCGAACTTACAGTAATTGCAGACAGCTGGTGTTAATCACAATGCTATCAGTCTGCTGAGCCACCAGGTTTATTTGAATAATTGGTCTAGGCCACATATATCTTATAGTGTAAACCAACTGGCTAGATATAATGCTGAACCTACTGAAAGGCACTGGCAAGCCGCTAAGTGTATACTTAGGTATCTGAAGCAAACAATTTATTATTCGTTATATTTGGAGCCTAGTAGTGACCTATTTTTAACGGCATATGGTGATGCAAGTTTTGCAACTGATATACCTACTCGTAAATCAACATCAGGTATAGTGGTAATGTTGGGTAATGCTTTGATAGGATGGAAATCTATTAGGCAAAAGCACATTAGTTTGTCAACTATGGAAGCCGAGTTTTCATGTTTATCCTTGATGTGTACCGAATTGGTATAAACAATTGTTAATGGATATGGGATTAAATGTGAATGATTTTTTTTTCTTTTAAAAGCCTCTGCCAATCAGGCAACTCAGCTGGGATCGTCAGAGGCTTTTAAAAGAAAAAAAGCCTCTGCTGATCAGGCAACACAGCTTGGATCGTCAGAGGCTTTTAAAACCATTTTTTCTACAATCTCTGACGAGGTTGTAGAAAAAATGCTTTTAAAAGCCTCTGATGATCCCAGCTGAGCCGCGCGATCATCAGAGGCTTTTTTCTTTACTTTTAAAAGCATTTTTTCAGCCGAAGAGGTTGTAGAAAAAATGCTTTTAATTTTTTTTAAAAAAAGCCTCTGATGATTGTGCGGCTCAGCTGGGCAGGGGGGGGGCAGGGATTTTTGCTACTGGTTCTCCGAACCACCTGCTTCCATCACTACTGGATCGGGCGATCCAGTCCGAACCGGGAGCATTTCACCCTGATTTACACTCCTTGCAGATAGCTGGTCATTTGCATCCTTTTTAGGTCACCTGGAGGTTTATTTGTGTCCTCTGGGTCACCTGAGTGGTGCAAATGGGTGTGCAGCCTTCTTGGGACTGCTGAAGAGACTGTGTTATAGACAGGAGATAGATGGTGCCATATCCCTCTGCCTCTGTTGAGGGAAGGCTGTCCAGTTTTGACATCTTTGGCCCCTTTGACCCCTCTTTCAAACCAGCGGTGCTCTCTGTGCAAAATGTGGACTCTGCTGTCTTCAAAAGAGTGACCCCTCTCTTTGAAATGCAGATGAACTGCTGAATCTTGTCCTGATGGATTTGTTCTCCTATGTTGTGCCATGCCTTTGTGAAGTGGGAATGGCTCTCAAGGCCGGTGTAACAAAGACGTGCAAAACGGCCAATTCAAAATAAAACAAACGGAGACGGGGTTTCTGAATCTTAATCAAAGTGCAAATGTTCAAACGAAAGATCCTGATCCTATGTTAGAAAACTTGCTCTACCCTCCCTCGTGACTCCGGAAGGGGCGGCGCTGGGTGGCCGTTTGAACGCAGGCGGGAGGCTCCGTGGCGCCGCTCGGGCAGATCCAGCTAGCTTCCCCGAGAAGGGCGGTGGCGCAAGGATCGGCTCTCTCTCCCTCCTGTGCGCTCCCGGCCGGTCCAAAGCCGAGCCCGCGACGGAACCATCTTCCCGGGGATGAGCGCCGCCGCTACGGGCCCTCTCGGGCACAGCCGCAGCTCCTCGCCGGAGCGGAGGGCCGGCTGGGAGCGCAAGCGCCGCGCCCGAGCGGAGGAGCTGCTCCGGACCGAAGGGCGATACCTGGAGCAGCTCGAAGGAGTTGCGACGGTGAGGAGGATGCGCCGGCAGGCGGCCGCGACATTCCCGCGCCTCTTGCGTGTCCCTGGGCGCCCGTGGGTGTGGACGCGGTCGGGTTAAATTCGTGGGGCAAGCGTGAGGCGGGGAAGGATGTGGCGGCCGGACGCCCCTACCCTTCGCGGAAGGAGAGAGGCCGACGGAGTGGCCCGGGTTTAAGGGGCCTGTCTCCTTTGGAGCAGGGGCCCCCGGGTTATGAAGATTTTTCCGGTAGCTGTTAAACATGCGTCTTCGGAAAAAAAATAGGGACGAGTAAGATCACACTGTCTCAAAGGGGCGAGTGGTCGAACATAATTGAGTTAATTGATACTTATTTTTAATGTTTGTTAATACTGGAAGTTATTCAAACTCTCTGGAAATGAACTAGATAACCTAAGCTACAACAATACATAAATGCATTTTTCCTTAATGTATGTCTACTTCCCCTTATGTAAGGCAGTTGAAAACAGCAGTTTACTGAAATCTTTAAAACAAAGCAAAGCAACAGGAAGAAACTGTAGCAGCAGCTCTCTCTCCCACTCCTAGACACACGTTCACTCACTGAAAGATTTTAAAATATTCCTGGTAGAAAGAGCAGGCAAGCCCCCCTTTCAGAGGGGAGAGTGGAGAATGGGGAGGTGGGAACAGAGCAATCCGGAATGCTGGTGACTTAAACAATGTTCACTGGATTTGCTTTAGTTAGGAAACCTTGGGGGGGGGAGGAGAAGAGACTGGAGATGAGAAAAGGGACGCTTATATTCACACTGTCCCTCTATTTTTGCAAGCCATATTTGTCTCCACTGCTTCATAAGTTGCTTTCTACTTTAAACTTCTCAGTTCATTGTTTTGCTGGATCATTTCAATTTCAGCCAGCCATTACATTCTCAGTGTTCTCCTCCTTTTTGAAACACTTTTTTGGATGTTCCCCCATCATTTAGCCACATTTATCTTGTTTGCATGTACATGTGGTTTTTATGTTTGTGTGCACACTGATTATATTACCTTGTTGTTTGTATGTAAACTGAGAGCTTATGTACTGGAGACAAATTCCTTGTGTGTCCAATCACATTGGCCAATAAAGTCTTCTACTTTGTAGTCTAGTCTAGTCTATTATTATTTCTAAGTTTAAAATCTTCTTTGCTAAGATACATAAGCATGGCTTGGATTTGAATTTCTTCCACAATTTCACACAATCAGCCTTCTTTTAGATCTATTACATATTTTTATTTTCTCTTAATTTCACAGACACACATATCTATTTTGATTTCTTGCTTTTTATTTGGTAATTCATGACCATTTACTCTTCATGTTCTGAGTTACAATCTTCTCTCATCATCACCAATAGGGACCCATGGATTTTTGTACTGCCCATTGTGGCTTTGGTCAGTTGAGGTTTTTGTTAAGTTAGCAGCCTATTTTTAGCCATGCCACACTCATCAATCTAAAGAGATTCCTGATTAGCTTAGCACAAGCAAAGCCCAGTTTTAGCTCAGACTTGGTTAAGTGATTTTATTTAGGACAGGCTCTCTGAAGTTTACCTTGCAAGAGGCATATAGTTTCTTGCATAAACTATAAGGTAGATGCACTGAGTAAACTATTTTGACTAAAAAGCAGTATTAAAGAACCAAACTTGAGATGCCCAACGAGCCAGATTTTCTCCATGCTGCAGGAAGAGTGAAAATAGGAATGTTGTACTCAGCTTCACCTGGACAGTAATGGTGTTATGTCCCTTTTCAGTACTTTGTGGTCACCCTGAAGGCCAAGGGGATCTTGAAGCCAGACATCCATAAGATTCTCTTTGGACCCTGGGAGTCCATCTGCTCCGCCAGCCGGTAAGGTCAGGCTTGTGGCATTGTGGCCGGGGGTAGGTATTGGGGGGAGGGACAATGCACTCTTATTGGCCTTCTTCCTTGGACTTCACCCATCCCTCTATGGGTAATGGAAAGGAGCGTTCACAGCCAATGCCTTATTGTTTAATCAACTCCTGTACAAAGAAGGCTCCATCATAGGATTATCTGGATGTTGCTGTGTGTAGGATATGGCTTGAAAAACTAAAGTTGCATGCAAGAAAGTAGGATAAAATGAGCTACAAATTTTGATTACAGTATAGAATGGAACAATGGGAAAAGGATGTGGCTGAAAATATTGAAATTTACATTATGTTCTAATGTCAGGAGAATTTTTATAAATGATGTACTGTTAGTGTAAGTCGCCAGAGAAATTGTCTAGAAGGCACCTCAAATTTATGTTGGAAATGTGTAAATAACACACATTTCAGCATTTCGGATACAAATTCAGTAGATTTTAAAGACTAATGTATAATTGAAACCAGATACTTTCCTTTTGGGAAAAATGGATAGATAGCTGCAAAAAAAGTCATGCCACTTTGTTTTTGTATTTGACAATTGCAGCAAGATTACGATATGCTCAAAAGATTCAGCACTCCCTACAATGGTGGAAGGGCTGGTGTAGGTAACCATATCGTGTTTGCCACAAAGTAAATCAAAAACCCTTAGCCGTTCATTGTATGAGTTTGCCTCCAGATCCCTGATCATCTTTGTTGCTCTTCTCTGCACTCTTTCTAGGGCCTTGGCATCCTTTTCTTATCATGCTGACCAGAATTGGATGCAGAATTCCAAATGTGGCCTCACTAGTGCATTATAGAGGGGTACTGTCACTTCCCTTGGTCTCTCAATTGATTCAGCTAGAACTGCGCTGGCTTTTTTGGCAGCTGCAGCACATTGCTGACTCATACCTCAGCAATGATCCACCAGGACATCTAGATCCCTCTCAGAGTTACTACCGTACTGTTGACCCAGGTACCTTCTATACCTATATATTTGGTTTTTCTGCCTAAGCGCGGGACCGTACTTTTCTCACCGGTGAACTGCATCTTGTTGGATAGGGCCCAATGCTCAAGTCTGCTAAGATCCTTCTGAATCTTGACTCTGTCATCTAAAGTGTTTGCAATCCCCCACCCCCCAAGCTTGCTGTCATCTGCAAAGAGTTCCCTTTCTATTCCCTCATGTAGATCACTTATGAAGACGTTGAAGAGTGCTGGGCCCAAGACCGAACCTTGAGGTCCCCACTGCGAGTCTATGACAATTTACCATGGCCAACTTGCCATGACCAACTTGCCACGGCCAATTCACCACAGCTAACGTGCCACAGCTGCCATAGGCATCTCGCCACAGGACAACTCGCTGCAGGACAAGTGTTACACTAATATCAAAGAAATGGTGGAACAGAATCATTAAAGAAAAAATGCAAAAGAAGGGACAGAATAAAATGTGAATGGCAAAAATTAAAATATTTTTAATTTATTTTAAATCATTACATAGAATTGTTACATTGTCCTGCAGCGAGTTGTGCTGTGGCGAGTTGGTCATGGTGAGTTGGCTACAGCAAGTTGGCTATGGCAAGTTATCCCATCCTCCTCCCCCCCTCCCGCATGCTCCCCTCCATATAGATGTAGCTCCATTGAGGACTACATGCTGGGTGCAGTTTGATTAGCCAACTGCTAATCCACCTGGTGGTGGTACTGTCTACTCCACATGGTTCTAACTTACCAAGAAGCAGACTGTGGTCTATTTTCTCATGTGCCTTACTGAAGTCCAAGTATACGACAGCCACAGAATTTCTCTGATCTACTAATTTAGTCACTTTATCAAAGAAGGTAATAAGATTTGTCTGGCATGGTCTGTTTTTAACAAACCCATGCTGGTTTCCAGTAATCACCTTGTTCATTTACTAGATGCTCATAAATCCTCTGCTTGATTACCTTTTCCAGACATTTTCCCAGACATTGCTGTCTAGAGGCACATCCTTAAAAAAGAAACTCTCCCCACAGCCCACCAGAAGTGGGAAGTCCTATTCTGATAGAGGAAAAGATTTTAGCACAGGATTGAAGTGATGGGTCCTTGAAGCTTGGCTGTTTCCTTGCAGACATTTCATTACCCAAAGTAGGCAATTTCATCAGTGCTGGATCTGATGTTACCTAGTAAGTCCAGCATTGTTGATGTTACCTAGTTTGGATAATGAAATATCTGCAAGAAAACAGCCAAGCTCAGAGACCTCCAAAGACCCCTCAAGTGCCATTCTGTCAGCTGATAGATTTTGTCCTAGAAGGTGTGACTTTTTTTAAGGCAGATGTAATTGATCAGGTCAGCGAAGAAACTTTAGAGAGCCTCACAAAAATGCAAGACAGATTGAGCAGAAGAAGTTGGACCTCTGAGTAGTTTCTGCTCCTCTTTATGCTGTACCCTTTGTTCTTGCATGTGCTGTTGGGCAGTTGCTTGTGGTAGCCTCTTTTTTTCCAGGAAGAAGGTGAGTGCAGAAAGGCCCCTGGCCCCTGGTCATTTCCTTCAAGGCTCCTCTCTTTGCTTGCAGGACACTGCTTTTCCACCTGACCAGAGGCCATTTTGCATTAGGACTCGAGAGTTTCTGCCACCAGCTAGTGTTCTACGTCCATTATGCAGAGAATCTGGAAGCGGCCCAAAACATCCTGAAGGTATGCCCTTATTGCTTACAGGTCAGAGGAGGCGGTGCTTTATGCCCAGCATCCCCCCATCTCCCTCCCTCCCTTGGTTTATTCTTCCAGTTATCTGTTCTTGACAGCCAAGGATATCCTTGGGTTGTTTTTTTGGCCAAGATCTTGGTCTGGAGATGAGGCTGGGGATCTGTTCTCAGTCTTTGCTGGCCAGCCATCCTGACCCGCTTCTCCTCTTTACTGGTCTGCATTTGCAGAAACTGGTAAAGAAGAACAAAGCTTTTTCCCGCTTCAAGAAGCTTCAGGAATCCCGTCCAGAGCTTAAAGGTTGCCCGCTGGAAGAGCTGCTGCCGCTGCCCCTGCAAAGGCTCCATCAGTAAGTGGCAGAAGAGCCGAGTCTTCCTTCTCTGGCTGGGAAGCCAACCTTCACCTGCCCCTCCTCCCTGAGCTCCCAAGAGAGGCTGTTGGGGGCCAGGACCGAAAGCTTTGCCTCACTGCTTGCTTTGCAAGGTGGGGTAGAGATGGAGTGGGGGGCAGGTGGGCTGGGATCTTTGATGGGTAGCTGAAAGGCAGTTGCTTAGATGTCCTCCACCTCTGATATCTGTTTGGTAGGTATAGGCACCTCCTGCAAGATTTGGTGGAGCACACTCCCCCAGAGAGCTCTGGATTTGACCAGCTCCAAGGTAGGATTCTAACTAAGCCCTGTGATACGCTCCTGAATTTTTGCCTTCAGCTGTTCAGCTCTTCATCACAGCAGCAGAGACGCCCGATTTTTGCCTGACAGAATTTTGTAGGGTTGGCTTTTCTCCCCTTCCCAGTTACCCAGGCAGGAGAACAGGTTACGTTGCTCTTGGGTGATATGCTGTCATTTGCAGGGTCCCTAAAGTCTGTTTTGGAGGTCCTGCATCGAGTCCAGGAAATTGCTCGTGTCCATGAGAACCTATTGATGATGAGACAAATTCAGAAACAGCTCAAGGGACGGAAGACCCAAGTGCTGGCTCCAGGTGAGGCCTCTGTGTTGGTTGTCAAGTCCTCATGCTAGACAATCATGATGAGCCTTTAACTAAACACAGGTCACACATAGAATAAAACAAGCAATTAATGCTATAATATAAGGATCAGGCTAGATCCTTATATTATAGCATTAATTGCTTGTTTTATTCTATGTGTGACCTGTGTTTAGTTAAAGGAAGGAGAAGGTAGGCAAACCATTTCTGAATTTTTTCCAAAATAGCTGCAGGGACTTCTTTAGGCAGTTGCCAGAAGTCAACACTGATTTGAAGGCACATACACAAAAAAAGGCAAACACAAGGAAATCAATATCTTTACCAACTGATAGAGAAGAAACATTCTAATCCTTTTTTTTAAACTAACAAATCTGACTTCAAGCTCAGTTCTGGGGGGAACCGTTTAAAGAATAGGAATACCAGGTGGGGAAACCTATCAGCCCAACCAGGCACGAAATCAACTGTCCAAGCTTTTGATCCATCAGAGGACTTTCAAGTGACTGGTGCATCAATGAACAAGGCATGTTGTTTCATAAATGTTTGTCCAATGAAATGGTGAAGAGAAGCAAAATAAAGAATGGCCTCACTACGTGACTGTTGTGAATCGGGTGGGAGAAGCACAGTTGAGCCAAGTTCATCTTCATTGCCCCGGACCCTCTGGGTCAACGGGAAAGATGTTAACACAGACATCTTTGAAAGTAGAGCTAGACCTACCTGTGTGACACTAGTGGGGATTTAGAGTTACCATCAGAGTGTGGGGGCTCCCTGGTCCAATTCAAGGGGTTGGGAAACTGCTACCTGCTCTTACCTGCCAAACATAGACGGAGGCTGGGAAAATCCAATGAGTACAAAGTCCTACTTCGGATTAGTGGATAATTTTAGTAGTAATAAGGTGCTGGCTTGGACTTTCAGAAACAAAGTCTTGATAAATGGAGCTCTCAAGGGTTCTTTCTGCAACCCTTCTCTCTCCTCAGCTGCTTTTCCAGAGCGCACGGAACACTATTACCTTCACACCAAAGGGACACTTATTTACTTGCATTTGCATGCTTTTAACTGCAAGGTGGGCAGGAGCTGGGGCAGAAACAGAGTATACACCCCCACACACAAAAGATGGTGTTTCTAATCGCAAACCTATTGTAAATTTATTTTCCATATACGTTCAGATATTGATGTTTTAATATTTTGTATAATGCCTTAAATCTATTTCATGGAGGAAAATGGAGTCTAAAGTAAATCTCTTGACATGTTAGGAATCCAGCTATCATTTGGAAATGCTGTCTCATATGTTTTTTGAAGTCAACAGCTGAGTTTTGGAATTATGTGTCAGTGGCTTGCCTCAGTGATCGGTGTCGCTAATCCCTCTGCATTTCCCAGAGAAACCATTCCTGGGGTCACCGATGGATCTCAGATGGTTTCAGAGCTTGCTTAATAAATTCCTGGGTTTCTGTCCTTTTTCCATGCAGGGCGCCAGTATCTCCAGGAAGGTTGGCTGATGGAGGTCCCCTCCAAGGGGAAGGAGATGCAGCGCAGGAGGTGCTTCCTTTTCTCCGATATCTTGTTGTTAACAAAGCCTTGCCACCCGCTCCATCCTTGGAATTCACACAAGTTTGCTTGCCAGGCTGTTTACCCTCTCAGTCACTGTGTTGTGGAGAAGGTCTTTGGTCACACCCAGAGCCAAAGAGGGCTGCTCAGTGTAAGTGCTCTTCCTCCACTCCCAGGTTTTGCCAGTTTTGCTGGCTCCTCTCCCCTGAAACCATGGTTGATCTATGATGGAGGGTAATGTGGGAGGCACAGCTGGGGTTAGTGCCAAGAAGGGATGGCAAGCATTGATGACTTCATAGTCAGGGACTTTGGGGTGGGTGAACTGGGAACTCTTTCCTTTGGCCACACATCACTTTACTGCCCTTTTTCTCTTTTCAGCTCTCTTTCCCACAAAAAAAGTTACTATTGATGTCTTGCGATCAGGAGGACTTTACCAAATGGCACCAGAATCTGGTGGTGGCTATCAGGTAGGCTACATCCCTCCTGCTTCTTGTCTAAAGTAGTCTGAATAACATTTAAGGAATCATTTATCACAACTCAGCAAGGGTTAATTAGGCTGAGGCAGTGACCGCATTGTAAGTATCACAGCATAGCTGTACGGGAGTCTGGGGCTTCCCTGGTCAACTCCCACTACAGCCACTGACTCAATTTCTGCCCAAAATGATCTCTGGCTGAGCAGACCCAGAGACAATGCTTTGGTTCAAGGGAAGGCATTACAGTAGACCTCAACTTGCAGCTGTTTATTCTGACTGTTCAAAGTTGCAGTGGTCCTGAATGGACTTACTGAAGTTTCGGCTGATGAAGAGTTTCACGGTCACATGATTGTGATCTGGGCACTTGGCATCCTATTTATATTTACAGCCAGTTGCCAAGCCCCCTGCGATCATGTGATAGTCATTTGCAGTATTTCTTGCTGGCTTTGCTAGAAAATCAGTGGAGAAGCTGGCAGGGAAGCTTGCAAGTCGCAGCCGACTGTCAGAGGACTCGCTCTGGTCTCTGGCTGAAAAAGGTCCACGCCAAAATCTGTGCAGTTTCCAGCTTCACAAGCTGAGGCCTTGCACACCCTCCTTGCCCTCCCACATCTCTTGCTCCCTCCTCCACTTGGCAGCGCTTGGGGCTTGCACTTTCCTGCTGGCTTCCCCACTGACTTGATTGTAGAAACTGGCGGGAAGTTGCCTCACTAACAACCAGGCCATTAATTTATTAATTGCAACTGGGACTGCCTAGATCGGGTGTCGGCAACCTGTGGCTCTGGAGCCGCTTGCAGCTCTTTGGGCCCTCTGCTGCGGCTCCCTGTCCCATCACTGGCTGGCCCCGCTCCTCGCCCTCCCTTCCCAGTCACTCGCCTGGCCTGAGAAGATAAGGGCGACAGCGGGGGGGGGGGGGGGGGGGGGTGGAGAAGCAGTCGGGGCTGATTCTCCAGTGCCTCATTCTTGCTGGAGCTTCTTCCGGCTCTTGTTGGTGCTAGGCATGCCTCGGTCACTTGGGGAGATGCGCAATCTGCTGTCTGCCCCGAGACACTGCAGCGACCCGGCCGCGACCAATGCTAACATGAGGGCTGGCGGGGTGAGAATGGGATCCAGGAGGAGGGGATGGGCCCACAGCGTCCAGCCGCAGCTTTAAGAAGGTCAGGGCAGTGGGAAAATGGGACTGGCCCCACCGAACCTCGCAACGCCCACCCTGGGGGTCAGGAAAGCCGGGGTTGGGCCAAGCTGGTGAGCTCTCCTTGGGGCTCTTCGCTACTGCTTTTCTTTCTTTTTTTTGGAAATCCGGAATGAGCATGAAGCGCAGTGGAGGCTTCCTTTCTGGCAATTCTCCTCCTTTTGCGACCCCCTGGCCGGCTATGGCAAGGCCGGGAGCATGCACACGAGCGGGGAGACCTTCCTCAAGCGAGTCGGTGGGCTCGGCCAAAGCGCAGCAAAGGTGCGCGCAGGGCGGTTGTCCGCTCGCTTGAGGATTTCCCCACTGGTGCACACATGCATTAGCGAAGAGCTCCAAGGGGAGCTTGCTGGGCTTTATAAGAGAGTGAGAAGAGACAGACACAGATATAGATACAGATAGAGAGTTACAGAGAGATGGGGGGGGAGAGGGGGAGAGAGAGAGAGAGAAGGGAAGAGAGGAAGAGATAGAGAGGGAGAGATACAGGGAGAGGGGGAGAGAGAAGGAGGGGGGAGAGACAGAGAGAGAAGGGAAGATAGGGAGGGGGGACAGAGCTAGAGAGGGGTGGAGAGAAAAGGGTTTTGTGGTTCCTGGTTCTTTGCCCTAATGACTGGCTGAGGGGGGGGGGTCATGTGACTGGTAGCGAGTGATGTCGAGTTGGCCACGCCCGCCCAGATTTTGTGGCTCCCGGTGGTTTTTTTTTTCTGTGGGAAACGGGTTCAAATGGCTCTTTGAGTGTTTAAGGTTGCAAACCCCTGGCCTAGATTGTCATTGCAAAGCAAAGTAAGTGCACTTTGACTTCATCGCTTTGTGATGGAAATTTTGGTCTCAATTATGGCTGTGGTAAGATTGTTTCTTCTTACAGAGAGCTTCAAGTCTGTGGCAGCCCACCCTCTCAGAAGGCCGAGTGAGCCAGCTGGACTCTGCAGGAAATAGCATGTGCGCCCTGGGCAGTTGTTTGGCAATCTGCCAACGTGCAGTCATTAGTGCTACCCTCCTTTGGACATCTAACTCCAAGCATAACCCTAACACAGGTCTGTCCTTGGTTTGGTTCCCTGTTCCTTCTATCCAAAGAAGCAGGATTCTTGGAATAGCCGCCCTCCTCAGAGGCTGCTGCCTCCAGAACAGCCACACTTATTAAGCCTACAGATAGGGAGCCCTGCCATAGGATAGCCTTCTCAGCAACTCTCATGTGACACAGTGGGACAGAAGTGATTAAGATTCTACACAAACTATTTTTCATACCCGTGGATCTTGCACAGTGGGATGTAAAAGCCTATTTTCTTTTAATGGCTTGGAATGGTGGTGGTTTCTCCTTGTGAATTCTATTGCGAGATTAGTTTTGCCTGCCAAGACAGGAAAACTTTTGGGCTGGAACTCGGTGGGTTTTAAAAACATGCCAAGGCACGGACAGGTCCTTGAGACTGAATGCTTGGGAGCCAATTACTCTATAATCCAGTTCCATGAGTATAACCAGGGCAGACAAACTGCTGCTTTAAGCATTTTCAAATTCTGTAGCATGACCGCTATGCAGCCAGAACTCCAAATGTAGACAAGGTTTGGTATTGCTGTAATCCTATTTTCAACAGATATTAGTAACAGATTACTTTTGAATCTTTGTTGCTAACAGTGGAATATGGGTGTGGAGATCTTCCAGATCCTCAAATTCCATTTTTTTTAAGAAAGAAGGAGCAGTTTATGGTGTTTTTTTTAACAATTTTATTATAATTTATTGTAGCAAAACAATTTCTACAATAAGCTTGCCAATTGCATCTAAAATGAGTAGATGCAATAAGCAAATCATGTAACACTTATGCATCTTGTTTTGCAATTGTGAATGTAAAATCCATGTGAACCCCTGCCCGATAGGTTGGGACTGTCTGTAGTGATATTGAAAACTGCAGGATTGGTAGGGAAAACACAGTTCCATGACTGTCAAAGGAATGAAACATTTCTGAATATATTTTTATTCTAAAATGTTGCGGTATGGAAAATTATGCTTTCCTCAAGGGATACTTGCTTTAAGAAAATTAGAGATGACTTAAAAGGCAGTCTAATAATATAATTATTTGTAGGTTATTGTACTTCTTAAGAAAAAGATTATATGAGGAAATAGCCAAAATATATATATATATATATCTAACATTAAATTTGGCAGATTTTGGTACTTAAGTGCATTTTCCAGAGGAGCAGTTGTATCCATTTGTTATACCAACACTGTAGATCAGACATTCTTCTGTGGAGGACGGCGGAGAGGCATCCTAAATGGTGGAAGTTATATAATCATGCATGTGTGCACATCTATACAGGGATCCTAGAACTGAGAGAAATCACAAAACATCTGGTGTTTTATACTGACTCAATAGGAAAGAAAAAAGTTTCTCCTGCTTCGAGGGCCCGTATCCTTCACCAATTACTCCTCTGTTGGAGGAATTTACACTCCTTCCCCTTTTCTTAGTAAATTCCATTGGAGAGGACACTTGCCTTAAAACAATCCAGGCATGGTTCTAGCCATGGTCTCTTTGCCAAGCTGCTTAAGCTGGAGTCTGACCATTCCAAAAACAAAAAGTAATTAGTAATTACCAAGGCTTTATCCAATTTGCTTCCCCAAACATGATGAGCATGGGCGCAGAATTCCAATCTTGTGTTATCAAAGCCCACACTGCCTGAAGCATTGTGAAAGTAACATGCTTTTAAAAAATTGCACTACAAAAAGTTATTACAGATATTCCATGCATTAAATATTTCATGTTTTCCCCCCAGAATTTGATTTGTATGGCTGCCAGTTTCACCTAAGTAACTCTAAGCGACCATACAAATTGAATGTATGAATAAATATAAAAATGTTATAATTATGTATTATATTAATTTTAAATAAAGTTGTCTGGATGGGGAACTGAAAATATTAAATATATTTGAAACACAAAATACATCAGGGATGTAACGGAGATTGTAGAAAAAATTAATTCTTTGCACTGATTTTTCTTCAAAATTGACTTTATCAGGGAGGTGACAAAGTACCGTGGGATATTTTCAGAAACGAATGACCTAGGAAAAATTCACAGCTAACTTCTGATCTTTTAAATGCTATGTAATGGGACTCTCTAAAATCCTTTGACGAAGTCCTCATGAAAGGCTTTTCTAAACTTGGTGATAGTGAGATATGACCAGTACTTTAATGAATTGAATTCATTCATTAATTCATTGAAAAAAAAAATAGAAATCAGAACAGTGTTAGGACAGGTTTTTTTACCTTGTTTATAAATGACTCCAGGAAAAAGCTATTCTGATTGTGAAATGCGAAAGTGATTATGAAGAAGTGACTGCTGCGGTGACAAAAGGCAACCCTATACATGAAACTCCACTCCACTCCAAACACACCTGAACTGCATGAAGTGCCCTTATATTAAAGCATTCACAATTGGCTGAATTGACCCTGAATGGCAACAGGAAGAGAACGGGAATCGGTGGCCCAGTAAACTGAATTGCTTATATTCCTTGACCATAGCAGGAAGGGGTAAATGAGGTCATCAAGCTGGGTTTATCAAAAGCATTCCAACATCATGCTGTAATTTACAGTCTCTGCCTTTTGTAACGTAGCATACAAAAAAATATACACCTGCTGTGACTGCTTTTCATCAAGGCTGCTCAGCAAGCTTAGAGCCGAGTGCAGACTGAAAATTATCTGTTTGCTTAATAAACACATATCTTCAAGTTATTTGTTCCTTTAGGAGAGCCAGGCTTTGGTCACACTAATGCTTAACCAAGAGGCAAATAACTTGTAACTGAAATATAATGCGATGCACACAGGAGAAAGGAACCCTTCACAGACACGGATACTCTAGTAATGAAAAAAATCTGGTTCCCACAATGGATAGTATAATGGGGATGTGGCATATGTAAATAAAGCAAATGTAATGCTAGGAACCCTTAGGAAACGGATTGAAAATAAAGCTGTCAACACAGTAAGAATGTGCCTGAAGCTTGAATATTGTAAGCAGTTCTAAGTTGAGGCGCCTAAAAAAGTATAGAAAACTTACAAGTGAGCAACCAAAACAGTTGCAGGGTTTGAACTCCATTGCAAGGAAGTCCAGACTTGACTCTCACTCAGAAAAAGGGAGCTGGACTGAACCAGGGAGATGTTTTGCTTCCTCCAGTGAAGTTGACGGAGGGCAAAGTGGCCCAAAACAAGCATTTTTTCACATCAGGCATCAGTAGTACAGTGCATTCATTACTGCAAGAATGGTGGTAGCTACTAGATTGCATGTGTGGAATTTGCATGTGTGAATGAATGTACTACCTAGAATGCTATTTTTATTTCAGACTATACACTTTCAAACGGAGATTTAATTTTTGACTGGGATTAGACCTCAACTACAGGTTGCCGATTTACAACAGTTCATTTTGTGACTATTCAAAGTTACATCACTGAAAAAACTGACTTTTTCACACAAGTTGCAGCATCCCGATGGTCACATGATTGAAATACATATGCTTGGCAACCAATTCATATTTAGGATGGTTGCAGACCTTCTGACAAGCAAAGTCAATGGGGAAACCAGTTTCACTTCACAACCGTTACAAATTTACCAATTGCAGTGGTTCACTTAACAACTGTGGCAAGAAAAGTCAAAGTGGGGCAAAACTCACAACTAATGTTTCACTTAGCAACAGAAATTTTGGGATCAATTGTGGTCGTAAATTGAGGACTACTTGTATTTGAAGAGTGGAAATAGAGGGTGTTTGTTAGGGGGATGGAAATGGAGATTTAAATCTCCAAAACCACAGAGTTTTAAAATGGATTCAAATTGGATGTACTAGTTTATACTAGTTAGGTTTTTATTTCTGGTAATTACCGAAATTTTGCTAATAGGTTAATTTAGAAACGGGCATATAGGCAAAGGGTGAAGCATGGAATTAAGTATTTGGTTATATAAATATAAAACTAAATAACTATTTTAAAAGACAGTGGTATCCTTACAGTGATTTGCTGGATACAAGCGGCAAGTTTATTTTTTTTTCTTTTTGTTTTGTCTTTCTTCCTATGCTTATTACTTTTTCAAACAATCCTCCCTCACACGGTGGTGCCCCGCTCCTCCCGGTAGCCCTTCAGCAGCTGGTTGACCAGCGTCTTCTCGCCGTCTCGGCGGGGCAGCGGCAGCGGCGGGAGCGGATTGCCCTTGTACTCGATCACCGCCCTCTCGGCCCGGTCCAGGCTGTCGTTCTTGGGGATCCGCACCATCCGCGTGTAGTCGCCCTGGTGGGGCGCGAAGCGGGGCGCCAGCACTTTGAAGAGCTTGTGCACCAGGTCCTTTTCCTGCAAGGCGGCGGCAGCGCAGCAGCGCTCAGTCCCGCGTCCTCGCCCGGGACCCCCCCACGAGACCCCCAGCTCCCCCGCTCACCGTCAACCAGAAGTCGGCCAGGCGCATGGCCTGCGGGTCCGTGTCGCCGCGCTTGGCGTGCTCGATCAGCTGCGGGGCAGAAACGACGCCGGAGGGGGGTGGCGGGTGAGGGAGTGGGGTCCACGGTCGCCAGGACGCCCCCCCCCCCGTTTCTTCCCGCCCCTCCCCCCCACTCACGTGCTCGGCGTAGAAGCGCATCTCGTCGGCACGGGCGCGCGTGGTCTCGATCCTCTCGTGGCGCACGAGGCTCGTGACGAGGTTCCGCAGGAGGTCGAGGCGCGAGCGCGGCCCGAACCCGATCCGCCGCCGCAGCCGCCCGTGGGAGATGCCGAGCGCCGCAGTCAGCCTCATGGCCGCTTCGAAGCCGCCGGAAGCCGCCGCGCGCAGGACGGAAGGGCCGCTTGAGGGGCGGGGCGACGGCGCGGTAGCCGAGCAACCGGGGAGGGGGAGGAGCGATCGGTCTCCGAAAGGGCCCGGCCCGCCTTCTCCGCCTTCCCTGACGCTCCGAGAGGCCCGGTGGGTGGGGTAATGGGTCCCCGCAAGAGAGCGGGGGGGGGGGGAGAGGGGGCTTCCCTTCTAACCGAGGACAGCTGGCAAGCGGTCTCCCCGAGCCCCCGGGGAGGTCTTTCACCCGGCCCCGACAGGTTTCTGTCGCATTTGCTTCTGAATGCTCCAATCTGTGCGGTCGATTTTGAAGGAAGCCTCAGTTTCCCTTGCGAGGAACGCGCTTCTTCTGCTATTAAAATCTACAGAAATCTCAATAACCCAATTTTTGTCTTAGAATAACAAGAAGGAATTCTATTACAATTTCATGCAGAAATTGAATTTTTTGGCATATTAAAAGCAATAACAAAAGATTTTAGAAATGGGAGAATATTTCCCCATATTAATGTACTGTTTAAAAATGTGTATTTAACACTTGGGAGAAGTGTTATAATAACATTTAAAACGTTTTTTTTTAAATAATGTAAGATGCTCACATTTAATTGCTGGTTCCTGCTGAATATTAGTGTGTCAGATATATTGATATATTCTTAAATTAGAGCTGTTCATAAAGCTCAGGCACTCACACCAATGGGGGGAGGGCGGGGCTGAGCATTTGGACTTCTTTAGCCTATCAGAATATTGTCTTTTTCAGCATCTTCATAGTCTGTTTAAACGAAGTATATAACATGGATTATGAATTATTGAAATCACTGCCTCAGGCTTATTTACTAACTATACAATACTAATACATTAAGCATTGTTTCAGTTTAGGAAGTGTGATGTTTTAAAATGAATTCCAAACAATACTTTCAAATGTGGTTGAGATAATCATTTTATTTAGAAATTAATACAGCTTTTAGAATACTCGCATACATCCCTCCTATTGCCTTTTAGTCTCTAATCCTGGCGAATTGGATTTATTTCTCAGTCTTGTTCTTTAGTGCCTTAATGGTTTTTATGTTTAAATTTGCTTTAATATTCTTTCTTGTATTAAAAATGTTCTTGAATTTCATGTTCATCCCATGTAGAAGTCCAATTATCTCAGTTTGCTGAGTGCATGTTCTTCAACATGTGCAAATGTGTGACTGTTGTTTCTCAAAGGGGATATGTTTTACATATTGTTGGAGTTTCAGAAATATTTCCTTCAATGACACTGTTTACTTGAAATGTTTCTTTCATATATAATAATTATGAACGATTATATTGGCAAATTACAATTCAGCTGGGTATCCCCAATCAGCAGATGTTTAGCTGATTGGAATAGACTCCTCGAAAGTAGGAAGAACAGATCTCCAAAGAGGATGTAATTGAGGGATTCCCTTGATCGCAGCAAGGGTTGGTTTCCTTCGGCCCTCGGCAGACGGGTCCTCAGTGGGAATGTTGCAATGCGAAGGCACACCTCTTGTAGGCAGCATAGAGCAGGAGCATGGCACGCAGCATTTGCCGACATATAGCCATAGCCATGTGCACTTGGGGCTCCCGGAGCCCTCGGGGCCAGCGCTGGTGGGCACTTATGACTTGATGGAAGGCCGAATGCTCGGATACCCTAAGGGAGCCACTCCAGCGTGGGGGCTGTACTGTCACAAGGTGTCCAAATACCGAATCAATCCCTGTGAGACGCACAGCCTGGGGTTTACGCACAGACCCACTGTGCCCTCTTGTCTCCCCAGCTGCTCCTGGTGGCTGTCCTGCTCCCATCTTCGCACGAGGCTCCAGGACCAGGCTGAGGCCCTGGAAACAAAGCTGCACTTCTAAATCTGCAGCAGCTGGGCTCCGTCCTGCTCGGAAGAGAGGCTTGGAAACTCCCGGCCTGGGGAGGGTGCCCCTCAGCCATTGCAGAGATTCATCTAGTGGAGACCAGGGTGCCCATAGCTGGTAACCACCATCCATGGTCAAGGCCAGAGAGTAGCCCTTACCCTGCCCTGTCTTGGGACATCTTTGTACTTCTTGGTGCC